GGAAAGCTACTAATTGCATTATATTTTATAAAGCTTGTGCTCTATATAACGTTCTTAAGTTCCTGTTGTGAATGTTTACTGTGATGTGCCTTTTTTCCTCCAAATAATGATTATTTGTTTTTACTAAGCTCTCAATGGTGGAGAGAAACCTGTTATGACAAAGTGTAAATTGTGTGTTATCAAAGAGTGTTTTAAACTCATGAGTTGCTTTTCATCCTAGACAGAGAGGACAAGAAGCTGCTTCTGAAGGGGAAGAGGCTGGGGGCTAATATGTGCTCAGCACTGATGGTGTGCCAGGCTCTAAGCTCTGTTCCTTTTATACATGTGATCTCGCTTAATTCTGACAGTGATGCTATGTGTGATTTACTCCAATTTAACAGATACGAAACTGAGATTTAGAGACACTCAGTCAGTCATTTTGAGTCTGTCACACCCTAGAGTGCACTTCCTTCAGTATTATGTGGCTTCTAAAATAACATGTATTTCTTATTAAAAAATACTGTGCTTTAGACATAAAGAGAGCATCATGGGGATGCTGGAGACCTGAGAGTCAGGGACTCGCCGTGGACACTGGAGACAGACATGTGCCACTGAAGGTCATCTCGCACGAGACCACTGATGCCCAGATTAAAACAGGAAGATGGCATTAGAAGACTCAGCTTGCTTCAGTTCAGCGCAATGGCCATACTCCTGCCCCCAACCAAGTTGGCATGAAGGAGAGAAAACCAATAGGAGGGAAAGATATGTGGGTTCTCATTAGAGAAGTAGGTCAGATTCTCAGTCTTTTGGTTTGCTCCCAACCTCCTTTGCACTCTTCATTATCTTTAGAGCATGTCTCATGACTGCTGAGGGCCCTACTAATAAAGCTCATTGTGATTATGAACTATTTTATGGGGGTCAGCAGCCTGAGTCCCAATTCACAGCAAGGAAAAGCTGAATAGTCTTATTCTGCTTTGAGATTTTGGTCAGTAACGGTGGGGTACCCTATACTAACCTCATTGATATATTCCCTCCTTTAATAAGAAGAGGATTTTTGTTTTCTAGAGAGATTACTCTGGGATATTTTCTAGCCAACTTTTTTTTTTATAAGGAGTGGAAAATTCACTGGCTCACATTGACTACTTGGTACTTAATGGGTGGAAGTCAGCCTCAGGAGCTAGTCTCAGTGAGTGACCACACTGGGAATCAACCCACAGTTTGGGCATAGAAAATAAGCCTATTTAGAGGAATCTCATGAATTTTCATCATGAACTAGCAAACATTAGAGGTCAATAGGAAACCAAAATAATAATACACTATCGTTTCTCATGGATTATATCAAAGAGCCCAGTCAAATGAATTATGAAGAGAGGAATTATAGTTTTTCATCCTCAGTGCTTTTATTCAACCATGAATGGTATTAATTCAGGGTGGTTGTGAAGAGCATTTCTGTGAGAGATTTGAAACAGGAAAAAGTAGGTCCGTGCTGACAGCACAGAGTCAAACCGAGTTGCAGGAATGTACAAGGTGAGTGCTGCCCAGCTACATACATCAAAGGCATGTGACCATTGTCTTTGTGCAGGAACCAGAGTCATCTGGAAAACTTGCTAAAATAGAAGATTCAGCGTCCCACTTCCAGAGTTTCTGATTCAGAGTTTCTAGGTGGGCCCAAGAATTTATGTTTCTAGGAAGTTCCCAGGTGACGCTGATGCTGCTGGGCCCAGACCACATCGTCAGAACCGCTCGGCGCCATCCGTGCAGGTGCTGAGTCACCCGGGGCGGCTTCAACACTTGAGCTGTGAAGGCGGCCTCTGCCAACCAGACATCTTTCCTAGAGCTTCCACTGATGCTGCATGAAATGTGCTTCTTGGTGACGCTGTCCCTAATGCTGTTCTGCCAGGTGGAAGTACTCTAAATACACCTGATCTATTCTGCTATCCAGCTCCCAATGACTTTAATTTTTTTTAAAGTTGGGGAATACATAGGGTATAGTACATACATCTTATGTATACAGCCTGCTGAATTTTTACATATGTATATACCCATACAACTACTTCCAGGTCAAGACATAGAATATTTCCACAACCTCAAAAGACTCCCTTACACTCTTCCCCAGTCAGTCCTCATGCCCCCACCCCCAAGAGTAGTCAGTACTCCAATTTCCATGAATAAGTTGTGCTGCTTTTAAGTTTTCTGTAAATAGAAGCATAGAGAATATATACTCTTTTATGTTATATTTTACTCAAAATGGCTGTGAGATTCAACCATATTGTAAATAGCAACAGTTCTTTCCTTTTCATTGCCTGTAGTATCCCAGGTTTGACATGTTGAATTGTCTTACATTTAATTCCCTGTCTCTTCTTCTATTTTTGTGTATTTTAGGTTCATAATAATATTAGCAAGCATGACTGCTTACCATGAATCAGAAAGGTGCTAAGTATATTGCACTGCCTAATCTTTTCAATAGTGTGAGTTTGGTAGACCATTAATCCACTTTACAGATGAGATAATCCAGGCTCAGTAACTTGCCCAAAGTCACAGTACCGAATGTAGTCCTTCTCTTTCATTCATGATCCTGAGTTCTTAGCTATTTTATTAGCATCCCTCTCACTCTTGGTGCTTTACCAATAATCACCAATGAAATGAAAGATTGACTTGGGAGAACAAGCAACTTTCCTTCTATTTCAAGGGTCTTTCATTCGCAGCCTATTTTCCTTCTTCCTGTCTACTGGTTCTAAGGCATCATCAACCAGGCTGGTGAATTGGACGCTGGCATTTGTCAATGAGCCATTGAATTGTTCCCAACTCCTTCTTCAGATGAGCAGATCTGTTGGAAGCATGTGATCTTCCACACAATTGTCTTTCTACAGTAATGAACTTTCTTATTTGCTAGCTCTCTGGCCACTCCCCCAATTTCTGCCTTTTATTAAGTGCAAATAATAGAAGACTCAGTTCTGCCTTGTTGTCCCTGCTCAGGTTATACCTAAATTGTTTCTGAAAAACAATTGTCTGTTCTGTTGAAGGAAATGTTTAAACTTCCTTTGATTTTAATATCTAATAAAACTTTAGCAGAAGGAAGTATATTCTCAAATACAAATTACCATGGGTCATTAAGCTTCGTTTCCTTTTTTATTTTGCTAATTAGGGATGGAAAATTGCTGGTCAGCTTACTCCATGGTATCAACTTGAATAGATTTAAAAAGATAATCAGATGCTTTGCAGCAGTTTTAAGTCTGGGTTTGATTCAGTATCTGGATAAAAAGTCTCCACATATACTAATATTTATGAATTCTCCACTTTATTTTCATGTTCTTTACTGTGTAAGCAGAAAGAACTCAAAAATTTAGATTTCTGTTGCTGAGTATGAAGACATGGCGGTGTTTGATTTGTAAAGGCGGGGAGTCTGCATAATGATTCTTTGTGTTCCAACAGGAGGTTAAGGTCAGGAGTGAAAAAATGGGATGGCTTTGCTCAATGTCATGTCACTAACTTTTCTTAAATCACATAGAATGCACTTATCTATTTATCTTTCTGAAATTCAGATTTATATTCTAAGATTCATCCCAAAGCTTTGGGAGGTTTTGTTTTGTTTTGTTCTAAATTTTATTTTAATCATTGTTCAAGTACAGTTTTCTCCCTTTTACTCCCATTGGTTTTTTTTTTTTTTTTTTGAAGAGCCATAAACTTTCTGGACAAACAGTATGGTAGGGCAACCAAATGATTGATGAGGGAAAGGTGTTCTGTACGGAAGAATTCACATGGAAGTAATGATAGAATCAGAAATCACCCTTTTACAACTGTAATGAAATAGTGGATCTAGACAAACATTATCAGCAAATGATAAAACTGTTAAGTGGAAGATTGATGAGGACTGCAGCACGGGTGATCAGGTTGACAACACCAGAGCCCGCCATCAATCTCACCACCACTAAAAAGACAAGTAGACATTACGTACCTTCTGATGTGATAAAGCAGTAAATACTTAGCATCACCTATGAAGTGTTCTTGCAAATAGCATTGAACCTGAATCTAACCAACCCTTCAGCTCTAGTTACCAGAACACAAAGAAATACAGGGGACCAAGCTGTGGTTCTCAGCCTTGACTGCACAGTAGGCTCATATGGAGGATTTTAAAGTCCTGATGCACAGGCTGTGTCCAAAACCAATTAAACAAGCTCTTGGCCTGGCAATCAATATTTTTTCTACTCCCCTGGATGTTACATACAATACAAGCCAAGGTTGGAAACCAGGGGAATAGAGGAGCAAGTTAAAAGTCAGGACAAGAAAAAAATCATGAAATGTGGACTGTGAGAAACTTGGTAAGACAAATGACCAGTATTTTACAACACATATATGTAATGATAGAAAAAGGTAGGGGTGGGTAATACAGATGAAAAGAGACTTAAGAAACATAAACCAAATGTGATGTGGGGACTTTGTTTTGATCCTGATTCCAACAAACCAACCATTCCAAGACATTTTTTCTTAAGAATCAGGAAACTTTAAATACAGACTGATGATTCAACCATACATCATTGGTCATTAATTTTGTTACTTGTGATAATGGTTTTATGTTTATGCTACAAAAGGTTCTTATCATTAGAGATTCATGCTGAAGTATTTATGGATGAAATACAATGTCTGGGATTTGTTTTTAAAATACTCTAGCAAAAAATGGTGAGGTGATACATAAAAACAGATATAAAAAACTTGGTAAAAAAGTTGATAATTATTAAAGTTCAGTGATGGGTACATGGGGGTTTATTATACTATTCTTTCTATTTTTGTGTGTTTAAAAGGTTCTCATACGAAAAGATTAAAAAGGAGACATAAAGGTGAATTACATGCTGATATATCTCATGCACTGTGATACATTATCAATATGAAGTCTAGAAAGTTTGCTTGGAAATAAACTTGCAATAAAATGAAGTCTAACCCTCTGTGTCACTGCAAAACAGTTCTTCTTTTCAGAAGAATATTTATGTATTACATTACTAATAATGTTTATATTTTGTATGCAGACAATGCTGGGCCACCTCCTTCTACTCTTATCAACCAAAACGAAACTTTTGCCAAAATCATTTTTAAGCCTAGCGTGGTGCAGCAAGCCAGGATTGCGCAAAATGGCATTTTGGGAGATTTCATCATTAGATATGATGTCAATAGGGAACAGAACATTGGAGACATCCAGGTAGGTGTTTGTTGCTACTGTTTCATGTTAGTTGCTTGATGCTTTTCGTTAGACTCAGAACCCGGGGTTTTAATACTTACCTAAGGTAGAGAGAACTTTCTGACTTTTAGGAAATTTGTTTTAACCCAAAATGTGTCTCCAAGGAGATGAGTGGTATTCCCCAGCTGGAGACTGAGGGCATGTGTTTCCTGCTTCAGTAATCTGGAGAGCAAGGGAAATTTACAATTTTCCCTGTGGTGTGTTAGATGAAGTTAGAATTTTAGTTCTTCTTCAATTTTAATTAAGAAAGACTGGTCCCTGGCTCATTTCCCTGTAGGTTTTATTGCTCCAGAGACAGGATTGGAATATTAAAATGTATTAATGTGCACCCAGAATGTAGACAGTTTTCTTGACATCTCAATTTGTAAGATGCTTGGTAAAAATCCAGATAATTAGGGAGGCAGGATTCTCAAGTGGCAAGTGGCAGAAGGGTATGGATAATTTAAATAGAATCAGTCAACATAGTCAATAAAATTTTAAGGGATGATTGTATCCCTTGTACAGTTAAATTAGAAATTCATCCTCTTGGAAGGATCAGGACCATGAACACTTTTGCTCTGGGCCTGGAATCTGACCCTGCTTTCATGCTATCTTTGATTTTTTGAAAGTTCCATACATTGCCCATTTTAGTTAATTTTCCTACCTATTCTGGGTACTACCATTTGTATTTTCTTTTCCCTCCAACAGGTTCTAAATGGCTATTTTGTGCACTATTTTGCTCCTAAAGACCTTCCTCCATTACCCAAGAATGTGGTATTTGTGCTTGACAGCAGTGCCTCCATGGTAGGAACCAAACTCCGGCAGGTGAGTGACAAAATGCCCACTTCTTCCTCCCTCACTTTTGCCTGAGACAATGATGTGAATACAATTCCATTGATGCCAATGTCTGCTTTACCATCCAGCTGTTGCTGCCTGCAGAGGGCATTCTAATCTGATTCAGTTAAGCCATTGACATAAATGCTCATTTCAGCTTGGGGTTTCAGAGAACAGAGGGACATACTATAGAAATGTCTTGAAGTAAAGTTGACTGCAGAGTGGGTAATGTGAGTGAGACAGGACCATACTGAGAGAGCCATGAAGCAACACCATTGCTGATGGAATGATTCTGTTCAGTAATAATGTCCTTTGAGAACAGTGGAAGAGATTCATTGGCAATCCTGTGGATATATCCTTAGAACAAAGGGCCTGTATCTCAGTAATTCGAGACTGATATTTTCACAGTACTTAGGATGAATCTTAAAATTCTAGGGATGGGAGGAATCTCAAGGGTACATGTAGTCTGTATTGAAAATTTTAATGTATCTTGAAAATACAACTATGTACTTTTTTAAAAAATGAACCACTGGAAAAGGCTATTCTTTATCTTACTCTGGTATCCCAAGCATCAGAAATTTGCAATTACAATATATTTTCAACTCATGTAACAGAAAACAGAAAGATCTACTGACTTCTGGACCAATTGATAGCTCTCCATTTATCAAAAACTTAGATCTCAGCTTTTCTTTTTTAACTCATATCTATTTTATCAAATAATAATAAATATAATGAGTAAAATAGTATCTTGAACCTTATGAGAACCTTCTAGCTCACCTGTTTCCACTCCTAGGTCCCATTTTACAGGCAGTTGAAACTGATTCTAACTGATAACTATTGTACATATTTTCTCTATTATCACTTATAAATGCTTCTTTGGCCATTTATATATTTTTAAAATCATGTAGTATAATATATTGATCTCTTTATGGCATTTGATTTTTTTATCCCAAAAGAGTAAAAAAAAAACCCAAAATGTGATATGAAGATTAGGTTTAACTATTTTCTTTCAGAGGACAGCCAAATATCATTTATAACTAATATAGGAGGAAGATAACCTCACCTGGAAGTCAGCTTCTTGTAGTTCTTCGACATCACATTCTTGTACAGAATTCAGCCTACCAATGCCTCTATTTTTATTGCTTTGCTTTCCTTTTGCATATCTAACCTTCCATGTGGGGTTACTTTTTTTTGTTTTTTTTTCCTGAAGAACACTCATAGGTATCTTTTTAAATATAGGTCTACTGCTAAAGAATACTGTTAGCATTTGCCTGGAAATTATTGATTTCCCTCTCATTTTTTAAGGATACTTTTTACTGGTATGGAATTCTAGGTTGGTGGCAATTTTCTTTCAGTCCATTGAAGACGGATTCCCCTGGTCCCTCTCTTGGCTTCCATTGTTGCTGTTGAAAAGTCAGTTGTATTTTTAACTGTTGTTCCTTTAAAAGTAACTTTTCTATCAACTGCTTTTAAGATTTTTCTTTTTGTTTTCAGTTTTCTGCCTGAAGTTTCTAGGACTTCATGAATTTGTGGATTCATGGGGAAATCCCAGCCATTTTTCTGAAATTGCTTCATCTTAACTTTCTCTTCCTAGCATTCCAATGTTAGATTTCTCTCTCCATGCCCTCTGTTTCCCGTGCTCTCTTCTATTTATTCCAGATTTCGTCTTTTCATATTTTATTCCAGACCTATCTTTCAGTTCACAAATTCTTTCTTCAGGTATATTTGATCTACTGTTAAAACTAATTGAATTATTTTAGTTACATTTTTTTTAGTTTTAGAATTTCTGTTTGTTTTTTTTCCAAACCTGCTCTGTCACTTTTTAGAATTTTCAGTTATTTTTCAAATTTTTAATAATTTTTTAAAATTTTTTTCTCAAGCACAGTAAACATAGTTATTCTAAAGCCTGTATGCTGCTATTTTAAACTCTGGAGCTGCTTAGGAGTTGCTCATATTGTTTCTTATCTTCTCTCCTGTGTGACTGGTTATCTTTGATTGCATGATGGACATTATATTTTAAAAATTGTTTGTAGAAATATTTTGAGGCCTAAGATGATAATCTATGCCTCTAGAAACTAAAGTTTTGGGGGTTTTTTTTGAGTATTTGAGGAAATTATAATCTGGGATTACTTTAGCCCATTTTCAGGGCTTGAGGTTTTCTAGGGGACCCAGATGGCTCATGGCTAGATGGCACCTGTCATTAGTGGTCTCTGGACCTCAGCTTTTGGATTCCTAAATTACTAAATGCTTAGCCCTTCAGATACCTCTTGGGCCTTGGCAAACATCCCTTAGACAAAAGTGATCCTAAATGCTGAGCCCACCTCTTTATATTTTATCTTTTCTTAGATCTTTTTTCTTATTATTTTGTTAACTCTCTGATATCTCAAAGATTTAAAAAAATAGACATTTTGTTTACCTTTTTCAGTTGTTCTTGGTGGGAAGGTTGAGTACAAATTACCTGTAGGTTTCCTTTATGGGCACCATCTCCTAAAGTTTTATTCACTCATAGTGCAGCAATCTTTCATAGTGGCTGATTATCTATTGATCTTTGAGAGGCCTTACAGCCTTTCCATATTTACAAGTGTGCTGAATGTCTTTGCTTTATGTACCCCAAGTTCTTAAGTGTCATTGTTGGCTAAGTTGTTTTTGTGCCTCTGTTAACTGGATGATAGATATCGACAGAAAAATAATCATGGCTTCCTTTGAGACCACTCTTGGTCACAGAATACAGTGTTCAGCCTTGCATCTGATTCCAGTATGATAATTCCCATTTGGATTTTGAATCAATTAACAGCTACTGAGTGGGTGCCATCTACTAGGTTTCCCCATGTATCTCATTAAATTTCTATATACCTATAAAGCTTTAGGTTTTCTTTTCTTTTCCTTTAAGACAATGAGCTTAATGAGGGCAGTGTTTGGGTTTTCTCTGAAAAAAAAAACATAACTTGAAGATATTGATGATTAAGTTACTACAAATAATCAGAACTCCTGTCACCACCAAATATTTTGTATTTTGACATTTTTACTTACCATCATATTGTGAATACATCCAACATTGTTAAATATTTTTTAAAAACCTGATTTTAATGGCCACAGAGCAGCACTATTTAATAGAAACCTCAATGAGAGTGGGAATGCACTATATCTCTAGTATGGTAGCCACTAGTCACGTGTGGCTTTGTGCACTTGAAATGTGACTAATTCAACTGAGAAACTGCATTTTTAATTTTATTTAATTTTAATAAGGTTGAATTTAAATAGCCACATGTGACTGATGGTTACCATATTGGGCAGTGAAGCTGAAGAACATTCACTCACTCCACCATTGTTGAGAGACTTTTAAGTTATTTCTGTTTCTTGCTGTTATAAACAGCATTGGGATGACCATCTTTACATAGAAATCCTTGACCACGTGTTCCACCATTTTCTTAAGTTAAATTCTTAGGAGTGGGGCAAAGAATACCAACTCATATGTGGTTTTTACAAATATTACAAAAACATTTTTTAGAAAGGCTGTACCAATTTATAACTTTTAAAACTGCTTCCAGACTAAGAATTCCAAATAGATTAAGCAGTTAAAAGTAACCAAGGACTCACACTCCAAAATATGTAAGAAAACATAAGTGTGCATTTAACTAGTTTTAAAGTATGAAAGGCCTGTTCTAAGCCTAAAAGCAATGAAAGTAACTAAAAGGGAAAAACTTAATAACTTTACCTATATAAAAATTATAAACTTTTGTTTCAAGTTAAAACAATAAAAGTGAACAAAAGTTGGAAAAAATTATGTAGCAAAAAGATTTTCTTTAATATATAAAGAGCTATATAAAAAGCAGCAGGTGTTTATCTTTAATATATAAAGAGCTATTCCAAATCAATAATAATTAATCCTGTATAAGAAAGTGGTCAAAGAATATAAAATCATTTACCATAAAGAAATAAAGAGATTCAGTAAGATTATGAGAGTTAAATGTATTAGTAACTAAATAAATGCAAATTTAAAAAATATAATTTTTATCTTCCTATGAACTTTAAATAATGTAAATTACTTATAATGACAATTTCTATAGTATACATCTGTAGAGCTCAATAAAATATTTACATTATTTCTCAATAAACATTAAAAACATCAAAATGGTAAAATGTATGGTCAGTTCTACTGCATCTTCATGAAAAGGCATTAGTCATTCAAAGGCCACACCAGCCTAAAGGACTGACTTCTTTAGGTGCCTGAGTCACTTCAAGGTTTAACCTGAAACCAAGTCTATACCAGTGTACAGGGTCTTCTTCCACTTCTGATGGGAGAACTATCACAAGTTTTCTTACTAAATAACCCTCAGAGAGACCCAAGTTGTATAGAGCAAACCAGTGAACTAAGTTGAGATCTCCTAGACTTACCATTAATGATAAAATAATTTGAGTAAGTTTTAAAAATATGGCATGGAACATTTTCAATATGTTAGATGTATGTTAAAGGTAGTACACAAATTATTGAACAAAAGAATATTTAATCTCTGCAACAATTTAGTTGTCATTCCCATTTTACTGATGCAAAAAGCTGAGGGTTTGTGAAGGTATGTAAGTCAGCTAGCACATGGCAGAGAGAGGCTTCAAAGCCAGGTGTGACTCTCAAGTCCTTAAGTCAAGCCATAATGCTATGGTGTCTTAGTGCAAGTACCCATGTGATGAAGCAGCAGTGTCTGCGATGATAGAAGTGCCAGTGGGTCCAAGGTCAGAGCAGTCTGACATTTCACAACCCAAGCGACAAGGCTGCGTTTCAGAAGGAGGGATTTCCTTGCATTGTGCAAGAGCAGTGTAATGATAGATGTCACTCCTTCATTATTCTCCCCTCTTCCTTCATTCCTGGAAATTAAAATTCCTTTCCTTCCTAGGCACTTAAAGTCTGGCATGCATTTTGCTGGCTTCTAAGCTACAGCATGGCCTCGTTCCAGGAGTACCCAAGAACAGCCAAACACACGTCAGAAGCCTCTACA